TAGTAGCGATGCAGCGAATACTAGTAGCTTCTTGCTGCTAGTAATGCTTCTGTTACTAGTAGTGAAACACTTGTTACTAGTAGCTTCTTGCTACTTGTCGTGCCTTTGTTACTAGTAGCGATGCTGCTACTAGTAGCTTCTTGCTGCTAGTAATGCCTCTGTTACTAGTAGCTGTGCACTTGTTACTAGTAGCTGTTTGCTACTAGTCATGCGTTTGTTACTAGTAGCGATGCACCGAATACTAGTAGCAACTTGCTGCTAGTAATGCCACTTGTTAATAGTAGCTTCTTGCTAATGACTAGTAATGCCTTTGTTAATAGTAGCGGTGCACTTGTTACTAGTAGCGATGCAGCAAAGACTAGTAGCTTCTTGCTACTAGTAATGCATTTGTTACTAGTAGTGATGCCTTTGTTACTAGTAGCTTCTTGCTACTAGTAATGCCTTTTTTACTAGTAGCGATGCCTTTGTTACTAGTAGCTTCTTGCTACTAGTATTGCCTTTGTTACTTACTAGTAGTGATGCCGTGTTACTAGTAACGATGCCTGTTACTAGTACTAGGAATGCCTCTTTTACTAGTTACTAGTAGCGATGCCTTTGTTACTAGTATATAGCAATGCCTCTGTTACTAGTAGCGATGCCTTTGTTAGTAGTAGCTAGGGAACTGAGACAATACAAGGTTACCTCTCAAGCCTGCTGGCGTGTGGAACATCTTTCGATGCTGTGCTGCACTGGCCTGCACAGCATCGGTGCCAGTTTCAGCCCAAGTTGCTCAGTTTCTCTTCCAATGTGCAACTCCTAGCTAGCAAGTCCCTGGCTCGTTGCACGGCAGCATGCTTGAGAGCTGCCTCGTCGAGGTCGTCGCCGTCGCTCACATCGCCGCAGAGGCACATCTCGCCCTCCGGCACATCACCGGACGCTGAGGACGTGTCCCACATTGCTTCGACGAGATCAATAGGCTCAACCATGGTGTGGTGTTCTAGCTCCAGGCACTCGGTTTTTGGATGAAAACCCCGGACTTGTCAAGCTCCGGCCTTTGGATCGAAATGCATCAAATCAGAGGCACTTTGTCATACCGGCTTTTAGTCGGCACCTCTTGATAAAGGCTTTCAACTCCCCTAACGGTTCCAATGAACGTAGAAGAATCATGCACACACGTGCACTCCTAGCTTGAAGCAACACAGCCGGCAGTCTTCGCGTTGAAGGTTCTGGCGCCGTGTTCGAGCCACCACACGAGCACCCTCTAATAGGAGTCTTTCGTATTTACTAGCCGTCTTCCGGACAAAGGCAGACTGTTGTACTGAACCTTGATTGAGGGTTTGCTACTGTATGGGCAACAAAGTGCAGCTAGCATTTTGTTATTTGACTTTATCCAACTTTACCCTGTGGCTTCTGTGCAAGGGGGCGCAAATGGCGCTGTCACCAAACATCACCAAACCCTGAAAGTCCCTAAGCGCCGCCAACAACAGCTGCAGGGAACGAGACCTGCGTGCCTGGAGCTGGCCCTTCTCTGGAACACAACATGAGCATGGTCAGTCTTGCTCACGAGGTGTATATTCCCAGTCGGGCCCAGACCAAGGTTCCACACTGGGTCCCACTTAAAACTTGCCAGCTTGTCATCCAAAGGCTATGATACAAAAAATAAACCGAGCATGAGGATATGGAGCCCGAGGAAAATGATGAATATATGTTGTCTTCTTCTTTGCAACGGGCCCATTGTTAGACTTCTGGAGGGTGGTAAGTGGTCCACCGCGTCCTTGAGGTTGGGTTTTTGTACAAGTCCATCTACCAGCCTATATCACACATGAAGACCATATACCAGCCTATAGACCGTCATCTTCTGGCATAAGCCAAAGCCATGCTACCAGGTCTACCACTTCAGCGGTACATCCGTGGGTTTCCTATGGCCATTTTCGCTTTGACGGGACCCCAAAGGTGCTCACTGCAGCACTTCAGCTTCACCTCGTGCTTTCGCGCACCGAGCCCGAGCACGGTCTATTTCTTTCCAACGGCTTCCCGTTGTTCTGCAAGTGAAACGACGCGACAGTCCCAGGCGATACGTTGTGTCAAATAACGTGTTCGAACGGTGCAACCTGCTGCAACCTGATATGACATGTTGATATTCGAGGAGCATCAGTCAACGAATCATCTCCGACAAAAAGGATCGGGTCGCACATGCCTCACATGGAAGGAATCGACTTGGGTGAGTTCTTGAGACACCGACCTGCAAGTAAACGGCGTCTTGTGAAGGTTTAGCATTTAGCTCCTTGAGCGAAAACCACCTGAGAAGTAAAGTAAAACACCGTGGTTGTGAGCCAGGACCTCGCGCAACAACACCAGCAAGGCAAGGCTCTCACAAGGAAAGCATTTTAAAACAAACGGTTGTCAGTTATGCGAACATTACAGACAAATATACGTCCATGACAAGCATCATACAAAATCATACAAGTATATATATATATATATGTATACCGTACAAAATGCAAACTCCCGTTGAATCCCAGACCCTGACACCAATTTGGAGATATCACAAGGTCATCCCATGGTCAAGAAAGAGTTCGAAGCATCCGGTGCTTTCTAAGGAAGAATCACCTCTGAATTCGCCCCTCTTTGACCCTTCTTTGGCTCTGGTACTGGTTGCGGTCCTAATATCGTCCTACGGTCCGATCCTTCCGAAGATGTTCAGCCAAGAGAGTCCGACGGACGGTTCTCTCGCTCCCGCACCACGGCCATCGACCGATCGCAGGGCCCGGCCAAAGCCTTCGACCCACAGGAGACGCTTCGACAGAGCCAACGCTTAAGGGGACTGGAAACACTCCAAGAGGAAAGTTTTGTAGCCCTGGAGAGTCATCTTGACGGACAATTCTAGTCAAGTAGTGGCTTTCGTTGTTTAGTCATAATATGATGTCTGTATAAAATGTTTACCATGGCTTTCAGTGTTGTGAGAAAAACACATGAAAAAACACAGGTCCACTTCCATTCACTTGGATTCCACGATCTCAAATAACTGCTCTACGACTTTTCTGGAATTGCAGGAGTGTGCATTTTGAAGCTTTTTGTCGATGTGTAATGATCGTAAGAGTTTGAGCCTCCTTTAACTCGCCGTTGAGGAAAAAGAAACGCATACCTGGCAAACAACGCAGTGCCCGATTGTGTTCGGATGAATCTCCAAGTTTGAAG